ATATTCTGACTCAGAATTCAAATAAATTTTTTCCATCTTACAAATGTTCAAACTTCATACAGATAGCAAATGATACTGACGAACGAGGATCGCTTAAACCTGAAAAAAAAATACTTATTCCATTTTCGGATTCCCTTTCATTCTGTTCCACATCAGACATTCTACGATAAGAGCTCCTGTTTGTTTGAGTATCCCTCTCTCCCCACTTCAAGATGGACCCTGTTCTGAGGACCCAGCCCCTCGCTCACGGTCAACTACGACCCACCTCCGTTATGACTATCACAACGACAGCGTGCCTGATATTGAGGAGCTCAACGATGGAGGCCTGATCAGTCTATATCTTATCTGCTCCGTCAGATATTACCTACTCGCGTTACAGGGTCGTCAGCACGGAGGAATGTCAAAAATGAGAGTGGATGCCCTCGCTGGACGAAACCCGTAACTTCCGTGTCAACGGGAAGCAAATCGCCTTGCTCTCGCCAGTGAAGCGAGGAGTACTAAGCAGTAGGACTCCTTTTCGTCTTTGTGACGCGCGTCGCTCGCCATGCTTGCCAGTGCAACGAATTCTCTTGTCATATAGCCGCATCCACAGCCAATGAACAGCTTGTCCGAGAAATCTCCGTAGCATTTGTTACTCTGTCGAGGTACCTAGGCCTCCACTTGAAGTTCCTTGGTTAGTGCCTGTGTCTGGTGAAGTATGTGGCCACTCCACATCAGGGATTTATCACCACCCATTATATGCATTTGCTTCATGTGTTTGTTTGTTTATTTGTTTGTTTGTGGTTTGTCTGTCCGGAAATTCGGTTCGACCTGAAGAAAAACTTGGAGAAGTCGGGTCAAGCTTGAGAGCATGGGGCACGAAGTAAAGCACGCCTGGCCTATGCCAAGCCTCCGCCCACAGTGGGCGGGGCATGCTCCTCAAGTCAGCGGATTCGATAGGACGAAAATTCACAACCCGCTTTTAGAGCAGCTCAGAGCTGGGGAAAAGTGATATAAGAGATAAGAGATTGGCAGACTAACTAAGGGAAATACACCCGGAATGGGGGGCATACTCGAAATGGGCGGTGTTTCCCACAAAGTTCGGTAACTCCCAGAAGGGGAATAGCTAGCGGCAATTGGACATTCCTGCGGTGTGTCGAGACCCGCCCACAGTGGGTGGGGGCGCGCACTCAATCATAGGGTACCCATTTCGAAAATTGTAGCTCGGCCCGCTATCCAGAGACCGGAATTGTGTATTAATGTCAGCGAGGGGTCACATCTTTAGAAATGGGGGGCACACGCTGTGAGCAGGGCCTGCGTCGAGAAGGGCGGAGCGAAGCGATGAGATCTGTAAAACGATTTCAGAGCTCTCCTGACATTGGTAGTACATATTGCGCTATTAAGGTCGTATCTGCCCCTCTGCTTGACAAATGAACGCAATTTTCAGTACGTTGATCACGACAACGATTCTATGCTGATCCTCACCGATCACGATGCTCCAATGTTCAAGTTAATAAGAATCTCATTGAAAGATAAATCAATTAAAGAAGTCATACCTGAAAATCCTCATCACTGTTGTACTCGGCTACGCCAGTTGCCAACGATCGCCTTCTTGTCATCTATATTGAAGATTTAAAGGTGCGGATATTAAGCATAAGTTCTTTTTCCATTGAATTAATGCTTTTGTTGTTGCAGCATTCCTTGTATGTGCATGATCTCAACACGGGTTCACGATTATATTCGATCCCACTGAAAATGGGGTGAGGTCCATCCTGGTCCTTGTTGAGCACCTTCTCTAAGTTATTGTGGTTCTTAACATATCCCCGTTTCAGGAAAATTTCCGATCTTGTCGCAAAGAAAATACACGCTGAAATGTTCCTCTGTTCCGATTCTCTCGTGGTCCTCACCATCGTCTACCGTCTGGATTTTGCAGCCACTGACAGGGACGTCGCACCAGAGTTACAGGTCCGTTAGGCAGCGTTCAGACTTCGCGACGGCAGCCGGGTTTTGGTGCAGCGCGGTTCGAGCGATTGGCACGTTGAAAGTGGTGCACGAGTGATGCGCGTTGAAAAGCCCTAACCGAAGCGCGCTGCCGCGCGAAGAGCCAACCCTGCCTATTGTTCGCTGACAAGGCAAGTCGTGAGGGAAGATGAAGTAAGTAATGAGTCTGATGCTTGCTAGAGTGCGTTCAATTTTTTCAAGAGTGAACGAGTTCGTTGAGGTCATAGATACTTGTCCTCAAATTACACGGGAGGAGGCAGCCATGGCATAACCAAATATTTGTGTCCGCATAGGAATTCATGAGCATTGAATGACCTTTCTTCGCAAGCGAAAAGCAGAGTAAACCATCGAAAGCGGGACAAGTGAGGCCACACTGGTTTTCAGCAACGGATAAGCAGTGAATAGAGACTTCTCCAAAAAGCGTGGCTGGAAGTCCACTTGCGCGTATGCAAAGAGAATTTTAGAACCCAATGTCAGGAAGCAGCCGCTTGTTCAAGGCCCTCAAAGGGCGGCGTTGCTAACCATGGTAAGCTCACAGCGTCCTCACCACAGATCCGTGCTGCAGAGACAACCCTATCACGCTTGAGCACGCGTCGCTACTGCACGGAAAGAACCCTACTTCTCATGCAAGCACGGAATGTGTCCCTTTTCAGTGTTTTTATGTCTTGGTGACGTAAAGCTAGGTCCTGTGGATGTGGTGCGGGTGTAACACTTCCCCCGCAGCAACAACGATATAGCCTCTGTCTGAATTCGGGCTTGTATTATTAATTCCTCATGGCTGTGTTGGTATTGTTTTTCTCATACTGTATGGCATCTTTACAGGAATTACGACGAGTTCGTGTACCTGGAATGGATGAAGAAGATTTCGCGGTGCGGCAAGTATTTTACGAGAGTAAGGACAAAACTAAGGTTTGTTGAGCAATTGCAGTCCCGCATAAGAACCCTTCAATTGTCAGCTGTAGATCCCCATGTACATCATTTCGTTGAAATCAGCGCCGAAGGAACGGTGATAGCCCAACAATACTGGGTGGCTATGGAGGTCAGCAATCCCGCTATGAAACTTTGCTTGGGAATTTAGCGAATTTTTACAGGATTCGGTACCTCTATGATGCCGGGACTTTCCCTTGATCAACTTCTCTTTGTGAGGCACTTCAATGGTTACATTGCATGGGCTAATCTTCGTGGCGGAGGGTAATAGTTAATTTCGCTTATGTTTCCATAAGTCTTGCTCATGTTACGATTTATACTCTATCATTGAATGCATGCATTACTCGTGATCAGAGACTGGAATTTCCATCTGGAGTGGATTTTGAGGACTCGTTTTTCATCTATTCTACACGATGGCAATGCACCCAAAAGCTAAAACACACTTTCCTTGACTCGTGGGATAGTGCTCCCAAACTTTGATGAACATCGCGATTCATCTCTGGGATTCGTAACATCCCAACAATCATCGATTATGAGAAGAGGCTTCGGGCATGGAAACCATTGGCTGGCTGTAACACAGATAAGCATTTGTAGTGAGGTTCCACCAGGAGGAGGGAAGAACTCACCCATGCGCGTAGGCGGCGCGTTTTTTGAAGTCACCGCGGCTGCAGGACGGAGTGAGCGACGATGGCCTGCGCTTCCGCCATGTGCTTGTGGAAGGAGAAAGAGGGGAAAAAAGAGGGAGGAAAGAGCGTTGGACAGATAAAGGATGCTTATAGGTGAGTTAGTGGTAGCGGTGAGCGTAGTCTCGATTGCGAAAACGAAGCAATCTGCTTACGCAAACGTTATAAAGTGAGGATGACGAAGGTTTGGCAAATTGTCAACAGTTGCTTGAGGGGGCTAATTCGCCAGTTTCGCCATTGACTGAAGTAATTCGCTCTGATAGTAGACTTTTCGGTATTCTCTGCTCACTCTCTGACGGAGGCGCAGGCCATCGCCCTTGGCTCGGCCCTGCCGTCGCAGTGACGTCGAAAAAATGCGCCACATGCGCCATGCGTGAGTTTTTTCCACGGAGCCGTTTCCACCAGAGATGCACCGAAGTCTTTTTTGAGGTAAAATAATCGAGTTTCGGATGCGTTGGGCCGAACAGGAAATCGTGCACACTTCAGTTCGCTATTCGTGAGGGATGAAGCTCTGTTGTAATCTTTCGTATCACAGACTGTTCTCTGATCGTCATTCACATGAGCATAAACGAACACCAGCTCAGACTGAATAAATAAATGGGCATGGATAGAAAGTAATAAACAGTAGTCTGAGTAACCAGGTATTGTTGGTGATAATGATCCTGAATGACCCCACCACATCACACCAATAAGTAAGTTTATGTCAGCGTTGTTAAAAAAAGGCGACGGAGCCAGATTAGCTTCAGTGGATATGATGCCTTATGAGGTTGATAAACCACTTTGTGGATTACGCACGTTTCGGCGAAAGCGCCGTTATAAGAGCCTGAAAGGATCAAAACGGTTTGTGACACACAGACGGCTCCGATCCAGCTGAAGGCACGAGAGCAGCGACTGCGATGGTATGGGCACGTGCTGAGAAGGCCTGAAGACCACCCAATAAGGAAGGCATTGGAATTCGAAGCAGAGGGCAAGCGACCACGAGGAGCCCCAAAGAAAAGATGAGGGACCTCACTGAAGTGAAAGCCACAGCAGAAGATGCAGTGGATCGGAACAAGTGGCGACGTCTAACAAGAACAGCGGACCCTGCGACGGCGCGGGACTAACGCTAGGGAGAAGAAGAAGAAGGGGTGACATTCCAAGACAGGCTCCTCTATTCTGGAAGTGAGGGCTGTGGTCGGAATGGACGCTAGGTGTTGCGCCATAGCTAAGCCCCTGGTCGGCGCACAATATGTACCAGACCACCTGAAAATGTTGATTCATTCCTTAAGTAGCGTCACCATCTGGCTGAGAGAGAGTCTCCTGTATGTTGACGCCTTGGCGCTGACCTAGAAACTCCAGTCCAATAAGAAGAGGCGGTGGAGCGAAACTAACACCAGTGCCGAAAATAATCGAGAGGATCGGCGGCTTGATAGTTCTGCAGTGATTCTGATTCCTATATTTCTTTATTACGATATTCAGTGAATACGGCGAAAATTGGCATCGGGCTGGAATGAGAGAGAAAAAGCAGAACGTTTTCGATGATTTCATTGCAGCAGCCGAATATTTGATGAGGAACAACTACACGAATAGTCGAAGGTAAGAACGAGCTATCCAGCCTGATTACCAGCCGAAAATTCCGACGAAAAGATCAAATTTTTGCAAAAAAAAGCGCTTCGTGGCTAATGGGGCGGAGCTTGGTGTGCGTGCTGCGTGTCTATGCGAACATCGTTCGTGAGGGCGTTGAAAAAATTTATGAAATTTCTATATTTGAAATAATCTCCTTGAAGGGTGGAGGTTGTATCTCTGTCAGTATATCTTCCTTCTCAGTTAGCGTGAATGTGCGAAAGTAGTACGTGCAAAAAGACTTAGAAGAAGGATTCATTATATGGATTTGCGGTAATCAACCCGCGCTAACAAGTGGGTAAGAAGTGGGCAAGGGTGTTGGGGCGGAGCTTGCACCAGTAGCGTGGTCTAGGTAACCGACTGTCCAACGTAGAGCGTGCGTCCCATCCGATTTCGAAAAGTGTCTGGTTTGGTTTGAAAAAAGTCAATTTTAGTTATAAAAGTGTGCGAAGTATCGGAAATTGACCGTTTTGGTTTGTAAGGTGTAAGGTTTACTTTCAGAGGTGTCCGATTCGCTTCAAGAACTGTCCACTTGGAAATAAAAGTGGTATAAAAGTGAACTGCAGCCATGACCTGGGAGGAGCTGTTTTTCGCCTATCAAATACGTGTTACAGGCTGGCTATAGAGGGTGGCTCAAATGGTGGATTACTGGTCGCAGCATGTTCGCAGCAACGTCCCGAGCTGTATGGTGCCGTTATAAACCAATATGGGTAGGTGCTTCGGTTTGCTGGCTCTGTTGTAAGTTCAGCTGTCGTCTTCAATGATGTTGCCCTCTCAAGTCGCCATAGTTGCTCCAGGACACATCGATAGAGCCTCCCAAAAGAAGGATCGTATAGACTTGTCCATTACGGACGCTGAAGCTTGTCAAAGACTGGGTTTGGAGAGGCCTAGCGCTAAATTTGTTGGAAGGAACAAGCGATAACAGTGCATGGAAGCGTGGTTGGCATTGCCCCAAACCGAAGACAGTAAAGTTGCGGACCTCTAAATCTTATATCGAATGGGC